CCTGTCCGTCTATGAGAGCATTATCTACCCGTCTACCTGTCCATCTATGAGAGCATTATCTAACCGTCTACCTGTCTGTCTATAAGAGCATTATCCACCTGTCTACTTGTCAGTCTATAAGAGTATTATCTACCTGTTTATAAGAGCATTGTCTACCTGTCTATAAGAGTATTGTCTCTCCTTTCCCCCCATCTGTCTATAAGGGTATTATCTCTCTGTCCACCTGTGCATTCACATGTGCCCCCATCACATATCCTGTGAGCCATCCCCATCTGCCCTGCTTCCTTTGCTGGGAAACCCCTCTGTTGACTCTCTTTCCTCCACCCTCTTTAGGAAGTCCCTCCTTTGGGCCAGGCCTCTGAGGGCAGCTGCATCCCACATTTGTGCAGGCCTCCCTGCTTGACCAGTTGCTATCTTTGTTGCCCTTTGGGGACTGGACACTCAGTGGTGAGTGGTGGCTGGGCCCTGTGTGTGGCTCTTCCCCATATGAGCCCCCCACACTGAAAGCAGAGGGGGCAGCCCAGAGGCCAGGTCCCTGGGGAGGTTGTGAGATGTCTGAGACTAGGGCAGGGCCCTGCCCTCTGGTGGTGTGTGGTGCAGGTGTCCCCACAGTGGCTGTGGGGCTGCAGTGGGCCCTAGGTAGCCACCTCTCTGGCCTGCTCTGATATTTCCCAGCCTGCCCGCCCTGGCTATGATCTGGGCCCCACTTGGGCTCAGGGAGGCTTGGAGACTTGAGTCTGGGGCAGCCTGGGAGGGAGCTGGGCTTGGGGAAGCCCTGCTGGGGCCTGGGAGGGGCCTCCCTTGCCATCGTGGATCTGTGTCTGGGCTGTGAACTTTCTGTCCCTGTAGGGCTCAGACATGTATGTGCAGTGTGTGTATGTGCATGTGCAGGTGTGCAGAGCAGTGTGGAGAGGGCTGGGTAGGGCTGGTCTCCCCTTTGTGAGTGCGTGGGGCTGTCCTACATGTCTTGTATTGTTCTTAGGGGCTGATCACTTAGAGTGGGATGCTCTGGCTCTCAGAGGCCCAGGGCCCAGCCCCTGATGCCCTCCATTCTCTCCCGCCCTGACCTGCCTACCCCTTGCTCACCCTTTCTCATCCTTCCCTAGTTGCAGTCAGAGGACAAACAGCTATGGTGCCTGCCCACTCTGCAAGCCTGCCTCCTACCCCCATTCCCTGGCCCGGGGTCTCTCAGGACCCCTCCTGGGCTGTGCCTGCCTGGGCTGACCTTGGATTTCACACCTAGCCCGGCCTCAGCTCTGTGCACCACACACCCCCATGCCCACACCTGTAGCCCTGGCCCTCCCTGGTGTGCTGCAGACCCTGAGGATGGACAGACAGTTGCCAGAGGGAAGCATGGGTATGCTTGGGACAAGCATGGAGTTTATTCATGGGGCAGGTTGAGCGGGTGACTTAGTAACAGACGCCATCTGCCTCTGACATGATCACAGACACATTGACGTGGGTGGGTTTACCCGCGAGGCGGTCGATGGTCTTCTGTGTAAAGGACAGAGGCAGGGTCTCGTGGCCCACCATGCAAGAGTAGATGTCCCCCCTCTTCCAGTCTTCAGCTGTCACGCGCAATGTGCTGGTCACAGCGAAGGTTTTGGCACCTTGACCGGGCTCCTGCCGGGGGGCCCAGGTCAAGTAGTCCCCGCGGGGCAGCTCCTGGGACCCATGCAGCCAGCGCACCATCACGTCACTGGGGCTGAAGCCGCGCACCAGGCATGTCAGAGTCACCAGCTCATTCAGGGCCAGCTCCTCCGACGGCGGCGGCAGCAGGTGGACCTGGGGCCGGAAGGTATTCCCTGCGGGGGTGGAGAGCCAGGTCAGGGGTCTGGGCAGGGGAGGAAGGAGGCCCCTGCCTTGTTGGGCACCCTGGGCTGTGTCCTGGACTCTCACCTGGCCTCAGTTTTCCCCTTCTCCCTACCTGGACCCTAGACTCAAGTCTCTCATCCTGAGCTCAGGTAGGACCCAAACCATGGCCGGGGCAGGGCAGTGCTAGGGAGGGTCAGAAGCAGGCTAGGAGTGCCTACGCCCAGGGACTGGGAGGGAGGAGGCAGGTTGGGAATGTGCTTTGCAAAGTGGAGAGTGCTGTGCAGTGCCCTGGGGTGGATGTGGGCCCACCTATGTCTTTGAAGATGGTGGCAGTTTCTGAGATTTTGGAATCAGATTGGGTGGCAGTGCACGTGAAGTGGTCCCCACGGTTCCAGGGTTCTGCGCAGCCGGGCAGGACACTGGACACACTGTAGCAGCCACAGGAGTCCCGCACAGCTGTTTGCTGGACAGCATCCTTCCCCGCCGTGGTCGTCCAGGCGAAGATGACGTTGTTGGGGTTCACCAGGCCGCTCAGTGTGCAGGTGAGATTGGCGTCCAAGCCCAGGAGCAGATCTTCCACGGCAGGCCGGCTCAGTGACAGTTTTGGGTGGCAGCAGGATGGCACTACTGATGGGTGTGGAGTTGAGAGAGGCCAGAGCAGGTCAGCATGCCCCTGCTGTCCCCTGCCCTTCACAGAGCCCTGGGTCTAGGGCCCCCACCTGCCTCATCCTGGGCCTCAGCCTAGCAGTCCACTCCCATCTGAATGAGAGGTGGCTCTCTGTGGGGGACACGGGTCTAGGAGCTGAGTCAGGCCAGGATGGGGTGTCCGCCCCTCCCCCAGACTGCCCTCTGACCTGGGGGTTGAAGGGTGCAGGGCACCAACACATCCTGGTTGGGGTATGTGTGGTGCTTCACGTGGCACTGCACAGATGAGCCATCTGGGCACTGGGCGGCTGGCAGAGTCAGCTGGCTGCTTGCAGTGTACAGGCCCCCGGTGCCAGCCTGGGAGGGCAGGAAGTGTCTGACCTCCCCACTTTTGTTCCAGGTCATTGTCAGTGGCTCCGAGGGGAAGAAGCCCTGGACTAGGCAGGCAATGACCACCTGCCCATCCGGCTCAGCACTTCGAAGACTCAGTGGGAACACCTCGGGTTTGGTCGGGGACGCTGGAACACAGGAAACACTGTTGAGCACATTGCTCTCATGCTGCCGAACTCCTGACAGCCCTGTGAGGGCAGGCCCCTGCCGCCTCACCTCTGTGCTGGAGGACCTGGCATGAGGAGTGGATCTTGCCTGAGGTCACATGGCCTCTATACCAGGGGCCTGCAGTTGGCCCACTGTCCTATCTGGCTATACTTCCCCTGAATCTGCTCCTTAGAGGGGCCCTTGCCCACGCCCTCCCAGACTGGGAAGCTCCATGAGCCTCAGCTCCCATCTGTAATTGGGTGCAGCCTGGCCCAGGGAGGGGCCCTGGAGGGACAGTGTGGCCTGGGCTCCAGTGCAACACAGGGGTGTGAGCAGGCTGAAGTTCCTGGCTATGTCCCCACTTCCCCTTCTCTTGTGAAGGTCTTAGTCCTGTAGTCCACTGTATTACCCCAACTCCCCGGCCAAGGCAGTCCTCCACTCTGTGGCCAACTAGGGTCCCAGGACAAGAGGCCAAAACCCAATAGTCCATAGCAAGGTCCTCTATGGGTCTGCCAACAGGCACAACCCCAGTGGCCCCAGGTTAGCGAGTGAAGGGAAGGGATAGATCTCAGGTGATCCATGAATTGCATGGTTGAGAGCATCCCTCAAAATACTGGGCCTGAGTGTCTGGAACAAGTGTTCTCAAGTATATAACATTCAATGTGATGTCCCTACCAAATTGTGCTTAGACTGGCCAAGGAGAGCCGAGTTGAGTCCAGGTGAACCCAGCTCATTCCAGACCAGCTCAATTCCAGCCCAGCCCAGCCCAGTCCAGCCCAGCTCAACTCAGCTCTGTCCAGCCAAACTCAGCTCAGTTTAGCTCAGCTCAGCCAGGTCAGCCCAGCTCAGTTCAGCTCAGCTCAACCCAGTCCAAGTCAGCCAAGTTCAGGTAAGCATAGCTCAGCTTTGTCCAGTCCAGCTCAGCTCAGCCCCATCCAGGCAAGCTTAGCACAGATCAGCCAGGTCACCCCAGCTCAGTTCAGCTCAGCTCAACCCAGCCCAGTTCAGCCAAGTTCAGGCAAACACAGCTCAGCTTGTCCAGTCCAGCCCAGCCCAGCTCAGCTCAGCTCAGCTCAGCCAGCTCAGCCCATCCCAGCTCAGCTCAGTTTAGCTCAGCTCAGCCAGTTCAGCTTAGCTCAGCCAGTTCAGCCCATCCCAGCTCAGCCCAGCTCAGCCCCGCTCAGCCCTGCTCAGCCCTGCTCAGCTCAGCTAAGCTCAGCTCAACCCATCTCAGCACAGCACAGCCCAGCTCAGTCAGTTCAGCTCAGTTCAGCCCAGCCCAGCCCAGTCAGCTCAGCACAGCCCAGCTCAGCCTAGTCCAACCTAGTTCAGCCAGCTCAGCCCAGCTCAGCCCAGCTCAGCCCAGCTCAGCCCAGCTCAGCTCAGTGCAGCTAATTCCAACCCAGCCCAGTTCAGCTAAGCAGAGCTCAGTTTACTCCAGCCTAACCCAGCCCAGCTCAGGCCAGTTCTGCCTAAATCAGCTCAGTTAAGCCCAACCTAGCCCAGTTCAGCCCATACCAGCTCAGCCCAGCTCAGCCCAGCTCAGCCCTGCTCAGCCCAGCTCAGCCCTGCTCAGCCCTGCTCAGCCCTGCTCAGCTCAGCTCAGTTTAGCCAGGTCAGCCCAGCTCAGTTTAGCTCAGTCCAACCCAGCCCAGTTCAGCCAAGTTCACGTAAGCACAGCTCAGCTTTGTCCAGTCCAGCCCAGCCCAGCCCAGCTCAACTCAGTTTAGCCAGCTCAGCCCATCCCAGCTCAGCTGTTTAGCTCAGCTCAGCCAGTTCAGCCCAGCTCAGCCAGTTCAGCCCAACCCAGCTCAGCACAGCCCAGCTCAGCCTAGTCCAACTTAGTTGAGCCAGCTTTGCCCAGCTCAGCTTAGCTCAGCTAAGTCTGACACAGCCCAGTTCAGCTAAGCACAGCTCAGCTTACTCCAGCCTAACCCAGTCCAGCTCAGTCCAGCTCTGCTCAACCCAGCTCTGTTAAGCACAACCTAGCCCAGCTCAGCTCAGCTCAGCTCAGCCCAGTCTAGCCCAGTCTAGCCCAGCTCAGCCCAGCTCAGCCCAGCTCTGCCCAATCCAGCTCAGCTAAGTCCAACCTAGCCCAGTTCAGCTCAGCTCAGCCCAGCTCTGCTTAGCCCAGTCCAGCCCAGGTCAGCCTAGCTCATCCTAGCTCGTCCTGGCCTAGCTCAGCCCAGCCCAACCCAGCTTGGCCCAAACCAGCTCATGCCAGCTAATCCAACCTAGCCTGGCCTAGCCTAACTCAGCCAGCTCAGCCTAGCTCAGCTCAGCCCAGCTTAGTCCAGGTCCGCCTAGCCCAGCCCAGCCCAGCCCAGCTCAGGTCAGCCCATGCCAGCCCAGTTCAGCCTAGCCCAGCTCAGCCCAGCCTAGCCCAGCTTAGCCCAACTCAGTCTATTTCAGCCCAGCTCAGCATAGCTTCGCACAGCTCAGCTTAGCTTAGCCCATACAGCTGGCCATCCCAGCCCAGCCCAGCTCAGCCCAGCCCAGCTCAGCCCAGCCCAGCTCAGCTCAGCCCAGTTCAGCCGAGCCCAGCCTAGTCTGGCCCAGTTCAACCCAGTTTGGCCCACCCTGGCTTAGCCCAGTTGGGTCCAGCCTGGCCTAACCCAGCCCGGCCCAGTTCAGTTCAACCCTGCTCACCTCAGCTCAGCCCTGCTCACCCCAGCTCAGCCCGGCTCACCTAGCTCAGCTTTGACCAGCTCAGCTCACCCCAGCCCAGGTTAGCCTAGCTCAGGCCAGGTCAAGCTGAGCCTAGTTCGGTTCAGCCCAGCACAGCCCAGCTCAGCCCTATCCAGCTCACCTAAGCTCAAGCCAGTCCAGTTCATCCCAGTCCAGCTCAGCTCTGCATAGCTCAGCCCAATTCAGCTCAGCTCAACTCAGCCCATTACAGCTTAGCTCAGTCCAGGCCAACCCAGCACAGCCAAGCTCAGCTCAGCCAAGCTCAGGTTAGCCCAGTTCAGTCCAACTTTGCCTATCTCAGCCCAGCCCAGCCCAGTCTGGCCCAGCTCAACCCAGTTTGGCCCTAGCTGGGCCCATGCTGGCCTAGCCCAGCCCAGCCTAGCTGGGCCCAACCCAGCTCAGCTAAGCCCAACGTAGCCCAGTTCAGCCCAGTTCAGTTCAGCATAGCTCAGCTTAGTCCAGTCCAGCCCAGCTCATCTCATCTCAGCTCAGCCCTGCTTAGCTTAGCCTGGTCCAGCCCAGCTCATTCCAGCTCATCCCGGACTAGTGCAGCCCAGCCCAGCTCAGCCCAGCTCAGCCCAGCTCAGT